TACGACACCCAAAAACTCGACGCCTCTCACACCTGAATACCACATGACCTAAGATCATAAACAGACCTCCAACAAGCAATATAACAAATGTAAGAACAAATTCCCCACTTTCACACCACCTTCGACACCTTCACACCACCAATCACAACACACACGTAGTTTATAAAATAGCGAACACCACACGACACGGCAGACAATTTTCCGATCAGTAAGCTTAGCATTTCGCCCTCTGTTCACGTTCATTCACAAATACACAGTTTTAATAGCAAACTGTTGTGCGTTAATAGTCTATTTTCCGAGCACTACCCGAGTCCCCTATCCCGAGTAGATTCCTCAAATGGTCTGACTCGAAAAGAGGGACAATTATCGGTTTCGCGATCCGTAACAATCTCAATTATTTTTATACATACATATTACACCAACAGCAAGTTAATATCAAATTAACGGCAAGTTGAGTTAAAACAATATCAATTAATTTCAATAAATTAACCTGACATAATTGTAAATATCCTGAAACGTTCCTTTTCTTTTTTTGTTCTACTTTATCAGATTATGTAGTGTGATGTTTATTTAACCCCTTAACTTGCACGCTCGAGTTAATTCGAGCGCGCTAAACAGGCCAAACTGTGCACACTCGAGATAATTCGAGCGGCGTTGTATTTGATGCTGCTATAATTTTTCACACTCGAATATATTCGAGAATTGAAAATAACAATGTGAAAGCTAAGAAAAAGAATCGTGTTATTGATATTTATCATTTACATAGGATTGTAAGCTATAATACTTATTTATTCGAAAATAAAATATAGCCTTTTTCCATGGAACAAAAGCGCAGTATATCGAAATTGTCCACTAAAAGAAAAGTTGAATCAGGAGTGATAACAAATGTTTTTGTTGTGTTTTTTTGCCAAAACAATGTTCTAAAGTTTGTTTTTTTTTACATTAAAAAAATTGATTTTTTTTGGCCGGTTTTTTTCAAAAAAACTGTGCGTTAAGGGGTTAAATTGTATCTGAGCTCAGAAATATTTGTAAATTTACTGCGCTCATAGTTCTTTCGTGAATGTATATTAAAGTGTCTCTGATGTCCAAATTTGTATTAATTGTAGATTGTACTTTCTTCAGAAAACGTTATAAGAGATGGATAGTTTTATTTCATAAATTCTGATAGTTACAGGTACTAACTATAATTAGAGAAATAAGTATTATTCAATATACTTTATAATAAATGTTTACTACCCATAAAATCTATTGTAACAACAAACAAACAGTCCGTTAAAAAAATTCTGGCAACCGCGTATACAAGTACCAAACATGTTTCGTAGCTTGGCAATCTAGCTTGATTGCCCGCCCGTGCGCGATCACCGTACGCGGATTAAATTTCCTCGGCTGGGGTTGTAAGGCCCAGCTTAACCTGTTGGTCTCGTCGGTGGTCGCGACGCTTCGATTTCCGAATTTCTTTAGAGATCGAATGTTTCGAATCTAGTCTCCGAACGATTGAGACTAGACGTATCTTGTGTGTTCGAAGTCACTATTGGAAGTTACTATTCGAAGTCACTATTCGAAGTGCCGTCTCGCCCTGTCGGTTTTCGCGTCGTCACCTTCAGGTTTCTTCAAATACGCTGATTGGCCCTTTCCGAATTTCCAATCAGCGTACGATTAAAAATGCGAAGACGCCCTTTGGCCAGCCCTCTTGGTGCGGGAGTGAGGGCTATGGCCTCGATCGGGGGGAGATCCTCGAAGGTTCGACGATGACCGCGGGTATTTCCTCCAGGTTGACCTTTGACTGCAGAAACCGTTATGAGCGAGGTTTGGTCGACCCTTCGGAAGTTCCCGGTTTACGATATGGCCGATTGTTTGAACGAACGAAAGCGAAAACATTTTTAACGACGAATATATTAGGTTGTCCGGAAATAAATTGCGGTTTCTGTACATGAGATTTAAAGACGTGTAGTTTTGCTTAGAATGAATTTATTTCATCGAAATAATTTCCATTAGATTCTATACACCTTTTCCAACGTTTTACAAGAGTTCCTATTCCGTTACAATAAAAATCAGGAGTTCCGGAATGAATAAATTCCACGAAGGTATTTACAGCATCCTCCTTATTGCGGAAGATTTTTTCTCGCAAAAAGTTATCGAAATGTTTAAAAAAAGTGTTCATAACCCAATTCGTGTATCTTCTGAATCGTGAATTGTGATACGTGCGGGCGGGCGTTATCGTGTAGGAGTATTGGCCCCTTACGATTTACCGAATACATGATTGATATTGCGGCCAGTTTCCGCGGCTCTACGTCCTAATTTAAATTCATATGAAAATATGGTACGAATTTGCTTCTTGTCCATTGTTACGTTTTTAAGTTGTACTCAGAACAAATGACGGTAAAAAAGAAAAGTGTATCGCTTATATATGACAGAGCGACGTGTACGCGTTCAAATGGTATATTACTTAATAAACATAAATTTCAAATATATAGTATAGAAAAGCCCTAAATATGACATAACAGAAAACCGCAATTTATCTCCGGACAACCTAATAATATCCTCCATAACAATAATCTTCCAGGAAAATATCCTCCGCGAACAATGTTCACCCGCACCGCGAAACCTCTCAATATCACCGCCTCCGTATAAACGTATGTATGTATGTACATGCATATAAAGAACATGAAACACGTATATACAGGCAGAGAATGGGATAGGGGAAAATTCAGAGTGTTGCAATAGTAAAAGTGAAAAGAAACTCACCGCTGTCCGCGTAGGATTCCGAGCCGTATCCATCTTGAAAACCGTTCGACCACGTGCCCTCGTACCTCGCCGTGGACGTGGTCGATTGTCTGACACCGTATCGACCCTTCAGCCCGAGAGTCCATTCGCCACGATAAATCCACCGTCCACGGGTCTCCATGCCCAGGCCATGACGCTTGCCGTTCTGCCACTGGCCCTCGTAAACTGACCCGCTGAAATTCGATATCACAGCGACATGATAATGCTACCATGAGGAAAATCACTCGCTTGCGTTTCGTCCCCTCGAAACTCGTTGACGCGTGCTGGGGTGGTAATTAGAGGATCACACGTCGAGGACTAACAAGTCCTTGTGTGTTGCTCTCTCTCTCTCTCTCTCTCTCTCTCTCTCTCTCTCTCTCTCTCTCTCTCTCTCTCTCTCTCTTCGTCAGGTTGATTCGAAATTCTTTTTTCCCTATGATTCTTCCCTATGATCCAAACTTTGTGACATTTTACGCGATTGGATTTGAAGACTGATCGATTTTTGAGTAATAGTGCTGATATATTTTGGGACATTATTTATTCTGTGGATTATTGAATCTTTCATTTGATTTTAAAGGAACTGAATAAACGAATCGAATTTCTATGAGATTTTATACGCTTAGATTTGAAGTACATATTCAGAAGTGGTCGATTTTTGAACAACAGTACAACAGAATAATGTACAACGCTGTATCTCTCGTTAAATTTTAAATAATAGAAATTGAATTGAAGGATTTCAAAATCGAATCAATGGAATTTCTAAGGATTTCGTATCCGAAGCAGATTCTGTCGAGTGAAGTATTCAAATTGAATATAATAAAGAATTATCAAAAATTTACGAAATATCGAAGAATTCTACCGAATAACTCGTAAATTGGAAAAAGATTCGAATCAAATTTCGCTGGTCTCTTTCGACAGAAACTCATTATCGAAATGCGTCGGTTCATCGTTTCGTCTTTTTTCTCGGTATTTCGAATACCTGCGCGGATTTCCACGCTGCGACACGAGGCTCAAAGACGAATAGGTTTCGCGCGAAGGAATCCTCTCGGTGACTTTTCGACGAGAAAAAGAAATAGGGATCCTTCGATCTGAAGGAGCAATTTTCCTTTTCGAAGTCTGCAAGAGCCGAAGCTTTCTCCCTCTCGCTCCCTTGATGTTGCGTTTCACGAAGAAAGAGAAAATTCTTTGATGGTTTTGTCGCGAACACGCTTCCATACTGGTGACAAACAACGTTTGTTCCTTTTCACCGGGAGAAATGCAACACTTCGGGTAAACATTCATCTGTCACCGATATTTTTCCACGATTTTCTTTACACCGCATAAAATAACAATATTCAGAACAATTAACGTGAACTATTCTCATTCGAATTTTAATTCGGCGATCTAAAAGAACATTTCTACTCAACGAAGAATCAGAGAAATATAACTTCTAATAAACAATCAATCGATAACGATACTTTTCGTTTTATTCATTTACATCGTTCGGAAAATTGAAACGTATTTCCTTTATTCTTGATTTATCATCCAGATATTAATACCACATTCGATTGTAGGCGGAAACGTTTCTGTTTCGCCAGATATTAAAACGAAAGAAGAAAGAAATTTATTCCTGTGATAAACTTTTATTCCACACTTTCGTTCTTTCTAGAATTCTCTTGCGCCCCGTGAAAATTACGATTCTCGGAAGGAAAATTCATCCCCTTTCGTTCTCTGACATTCTTTTCAAACGATGTTTAACAGCGTAGGAAACGTTTCTGTTTACCGAGCATTAATGCATTAAAAGCGTTCATACTGATCGAAAGGTTCGTTGTGTACGCAAAGTACATTTAGTAAGAGGCTCGCGTCCAGCGTTTCATTCGATCGCTTTTTTAATCGTCTATGACTCATCATTAGCATCATCACGATCCCGTGCAACCATTAGCATATTTATCACGCCGGAAAACATAAAAGTGTTGACCACCCTTACCGAAGCAGGTTGAAACAACCCCGTTGTTCGTTACTTAGCTACCAGAGATTCTCCTAGAAAGTAACTAGGTATTGGACAATTGCGACGCTGATCACGCGTCGGTGTAGCTAGTAAACAGCTCGAGAGCTCGTTTTAATTGACAAGGAGCCTCGATTGAAAATGGCTGTCGATATCCAGGGACGAAGGAGACTCGGGAAATGTTTGTCGAATGAAATTTCCAACGTTGTTTCGAAAGTCTACCGTGAAAATGTGCGAATTTCCCCCATGGAACTTTCCTTCGCGAATTTCCAACATCACTGAACGGAGGCTGTAAAGTTCGTTGGCAGGATTTATTCATCGCAATCTGAACGAAAATTTCCAGTATAATTTTGGAACGTTTACAATGAAATTTTTTTGGGGGGAATTTCTTCCCTGGAAAACAACGACATAATATCGAGTAACAAATTTCAAACATTATCGAATGGAGATTGTAAATGCTGGCAGGATTTATTCATCGCTGTTTGCAAATCTGAACGGAAATTTCGAGTATAATTTTCGGCTGCGTACAAAGGAATATTGTAGTTCGTGGAATTTTTTGGAACATTTTTTCGTCGGAGAACAATGACGTTATATCGAAGCTTCTGCTTTTCGAATAATTTCGTAGCAACTCGTCTAATGAATTTTCCTTTTATTACGAAGGGAAATAGTATTTGCCCTTTGACGTTACGTATGATTTATTAACCCTTTGCACTCTACTGACGCCGCTACGGTTACATTCGTAGTATCTACCATAACTCCACTCAAGTTTTCAATTGAATTAGTAAAAGAAACAATAAACAAATTCATAAACGTTTATCGTTTCTTCTTTTCAAAAACGAAACTTTCGCTCTGCAAACATTTCGCTGCAGAAGTGTGCTAGAGTATCAGAAAGTGCTCAGAGAGCAAAGGGTTAAGCTTATTAAGCCGAACAAGCCATTAAATTATTTTCTTTCACTTTCTGTATTATGTTATCCTTAGTATTCTGGCGAAAATGTGACTCACATTGCGAATAATGTGAAAATTATTTTAGCACACCTAGGAAACAATTTCGTTAATGATCCAAATTGATCATCCTTGGCAGGTTAATTAGACGAAAATACGAACGTTAAAGGGTTAAAATGACGATTCACCGCCGCTGCTTCTATCCTCTTCCAGAAAGAGAAACAAACGAATGAGAAGGTTCGAACGATGGAAGTAATTGGCCAAAAATTCGTCATCGAGGCAGGACCGCGATTTATCGGGCGTCCCTAGGAAAACGTGACTTGACGAAGACCTTGCTCCAGTTTGGACGGAAACGAAACGACGGAATCTCTCGGCCCAGATACGTGGTCGCGAGAAACACAAGTTCCCCATCTTCCTCTCTCCTCCTCCTCCTTCTCCTTTTCCCCTTTTCTATTTTCTTTCCACGCGCGTAATTCCACCCCTTTGAACGTAACTCGCGAGCGACGCACTTTGATCGAGCGTCGAAACCAACCGGCGAGAATACTAAAAGAAGCGACCGTCTGCAGGATCTTTAATATCCCGCTAATTGCTCATTGTGATCATCGAATGAGCTCTGCGAACGGTGAGCACACGAGCGATACCTAGTGATAAAACGGAGAGAACGGTGTAATTAACGATTCTGACGTCGCGACGTACGACGAACGCTCTCCGTTCTAATTATCCTGCGATCCTTATTGCGGGAAATTGCCTCTTGAAATTGCCATTCGACGGTGTTTCACGGGTGAAATAGTTTTTGATGAATTTTCACACAATTTTTCACTACTACACTGCGTTGTTAGCAATGAAATGGAGTTTGAGGGAATGAGGAAGGTTGTGTTTTAGAATATCCTGTGCTTTCAGTTGGGTGAAATAGTAATTGGGAGAAAAGGGTGAATATGGGCAACTTTTCCTGCCGTTACTGTTCCAAGCAATATGTAAAATTTAGTGTAAAATCGAGTAGTTTCAATTTTGCTCAAAGAATCGAGGAAATAGTATCGAAGAAGAAGAAGAAGAAGAAGAAGAAGCGCACAGGTGCTCGGCAATTTCACCTGATTGCTATTACGGAACGTTAATTTGAACCTCTGAACATAAAGCGAAACAATTAATACGAAATCGACGAAGCAAAGAGAAAAAGTGTGTTGTTACGTTTCAATTAGAGAGCTCGTGCCCGAGCCGCGTGCGTGACGTTGGTCCGCGATACAATCGAGCCTCGATCCATCGAGCGACATTTTTCTGTCACGTGCCGCCACGGAATTCGCGGCATGTTCCCGTAATTGTTACACGGCTGTTTAATGTCGTCAAGCTTAATCGATACGCACAGAACTCACGAAAGCCTCGCGCCTCTTCCATCGTCGAACCTTAAAGAGGTTAAAAATTGTTCCAACAAGGGTTCTTACGAACATCCGAATATTCGGTGCATTCGAATATTCCAATGTTTGAACATCAATGAAATTCGGATTTCAACTTTGAATAAATGAATTATCCGAATCAAGAATTCGAAAATATCCGAATTATTTGCATGAAGAATTCGAAAATATCTGAATTTTCTCCATAGAGAATTCGAATTATTCGAATTATCCGAATCAAGGATTCGAAATTATCCGAAATATCCTAACAAAGAATTCGAAATTATCCGAATGATCCCAATTGTCTGGATAAAGAATTCGAAACTGTCCGAATTATTCGAATTGTCTGGAAAAACAATTCGAAATTATCCGAATTATTCGAAATACCCTAACAAAGAGTTCGAAATTATCCGAATTACTCGAAATACCTTAACAAGGAATTCGAAATTATCCGAATTACTCGAAATACCCTAACAAAGAATTCGAAATTACCCGAATTCTTCGAATAGTTGGACTATTCGTAATTTTGCAACCCTAGTTGAAACTTCCAACGTGTCATTCATACCATCAGTTTGCTTATCAGCGAGAAGCAACCATAAAATTCCACGAAGCAGGTAAACCACTTACAATTTTTAAACGAAACACTTTGCTCCTATAAAATACGAAAAAAGTTCGCGATGAATAAAATGGAAGATTCCAGGAGTACAAAATTCTTTTGTACCATTGAGAGATGGTAGCTAGTTTCGGAGGAAAGCTGACTATTAAGTAAAGTAAATGGAACTGACCTAATTTAAAATTCCCTTCTACGAGAATAGGGGAAACCTCTGTTTCTCTAGAGATGCATGAAAATTTGCATCGGGATCTGTAATACAGAATTCGAGCA